GGAGCCGGGAGCTGTACGAGTCAGCGCGCATCTGCGGGGCGCTGAGCGTGGTCCTGCCTGCCCTGATGCTGCGCCGCCTGCGGAGAGGGAGCCTGTCCGTACGCTCACTCTTGCCTGGGCCACCGCTGCAGCCTCCCCCACCCGCCCCTGTGCTCCTATACGACCAGGGTAGTGGCCGATCCAGGCATGGAGAAGCAGAGGCCGAAGCCCCAGAGTGGGAAGCTGACTCGGTGCTGGGCATTCTGCTCCAGAAGCTGCGGGAAGAAGGCTACCTGTCCTACTACCTACAGGGTACGTGAGGGGCAGTGGGCTGAGAGAGGGCACAGGGAACCTGTGATGGCCTCAGGTCAGGAGACGGTCCTGCCTTCCAAGGGGGATTTCATAATTATTTTATCCTTGGGCAAACCCCATCGCATTTTGTCTAAAATGTAGGTTAATATAATACTTGCTCCCAGTAACCTACCAGACAGCTTTTGGGAAGGCAGACCTAAGTGTGACCTTGGGCAAATCCTTCATCCGTCCAAGCCCATTTATAAATCTGGAAAATAGGGAGAATTGACCTGAAACAACATAGTTCACAGGATGTTCCCTAGAGCAAGCGGCTGCACCATACAGAGAGACAGCCACAAGTGCTAAGTGAGAGATGGCTGTCCATAGTATGCACCACACGTGGCTCTCCAGTAAAGATTAAACTGCTGGTTTGTGTGTTCCCTTCGGCAATATCTGCAACCCACCTAGGTTGTTAGGGTCACCTCCCTAGCCTCAGCTAGGGATTCCTGGCTGCCCAGCTGGCTATAATAGCAAGAGCACCTCTTTCTTTCCTGACAGGTGGTTTCAGCAAATTCCAGGCCGAGTGTCCTCACCTTTGTGAAACCAGCTTCAGTGGTTGTGCTGGATCAAGCCTGGCCGCATTGCCTAGCCCAGTGCCTGTGGTGGGGCTAGGTGGCCTGTGCTTGGGCTCTGATACCTCTGATGCAGAGTCTGAGGCCGACCGTGACTCCATGAGCTGTGGCCTAGATTCGGAGAGTACCACATCCCCTCCAGCTGGGCTGCTACCACCGTTCCCAGTCCAGATCCTGCCCAATCTCTACCTAGGCAGTGCCCGAGATTCAGCCAACTTAGAGAGCCTAGCCAAGCTTGGCATCCGCTATATTCTCAATGTCACCCCCAACCTACCTAACCTCTTTGAGAAGAATGGTGACTTCCACTACAAGCAAATCCCCATCTCTGACCACTGGAGCCAGAATCTGTCCCAGTTCTTTCCAGAGGCCATTGCATTCATTGGTGAGTTCTCCCTATCCTCCCTGTCTTCTCTTTCCACCTGTCCCCACCTACTAGACTGACTCCTGGTCTGTCCTGCTCCTTACCCTCTCCTGTAAAGGAGTTTTTGCCTAGTTTAGCTACCCTCACCCAGAGCAGACAAGGCACTTGGGGAAGTGGGAGTAGAGCTCAGGTCAGCTGCCAGTAAAACCTCCCAGATAAGGGCTAGGTGGGGTGGAGAGACTGTGATGATATCCCCCAAAATTCACTGGGCTTTGGCCTCATTCATGCTGATCCTTGCCTTGTGGGGGGATGTTTCTGTCTGCTCTACCTAGATGAGGCCTTGTCCCAGAACTGTGGGGTGCTCGTCCACTGCCTGGCAGGAGTCAGCCGCTCTGTCACTGTCACCGTGGCCTACCTCATGCAGAAGCTCCACCTCTCACTCAATGATGCCTACGACTTGGTCAAGCGGAAGAAGTCTAACATCTCGCCCAACTTCAACTTCATGGGCCAGCTGCTAGACTTTGAGCGAAGCCTGCGCCTGGAGGAGAGGCGCTCTGGGGGACAGGGCAGTGGGGGACCAGAGTCCACTGTCTCAGACCCACCTTCTTTCTTTACTACCCCTACCAGCGATGGGGTCTTTGAGCTGGACCCCACATAAAGCCATGTGGAGTTGCTGGGCTGGTCCCTACCTATGACCCATGTATTAGCAGGGATGGGATGCAGCCATAGTGGGGGAAGCGGGGGTGGTGCAGCAAAGCAGGAACACAGCAGAGACCTGCCCTACCCCAGTTCTATTACACGTGCCTATGGGTGGGTCCATGGATACAGACCTGACTCGCACCACTTTAGGGCAGGACCATGCTCCAGGACCATGCCTCTTCTGTGACTGTTACTTTATTCTTTCGGGGTGGGAGTGGGGCTTCCTATCCAAGAGACCATTCCAGACTGCTGCCTGGTGCCTGGGCTCTGTCCCTTGCCATTTCCTCTTCAGGAAGATTATATCACACTTTGCCACAGGGACTTGCTCTTAGTTCCTTCCCTGTCCCCAAATGGCCACTTGTGGGAAAAGGTCTCACAGCTTTCTCTTGTGTAGTCTCCTCCCTGCCTCTCTGGCTAGCGCTTAGACCTCTTGTGGCTCTGGGATATGGACCCAGAGATGCCATTGCTGCTCTCAGTATCCACAGGGGCAGCCTTTTTTGCTGGGCAGTGTCACATGGGAGGGCATGGGCCTGGGAGCCAATCAGTGGGATCCCAGCCACACATCTGGTGCCCTGACTGTTTCTTTCCTCCTCCCACAGATGTCTTGACAGGATCACTGAGACTCTTTGTGACTGAGGGTGGTCAAACTGCCACCGGAGGAGATGGGGGTCTCTGAGTGAGAGCTGAGGGGGAGGGAGAGAAGGATGAAGGCCTCAATTTTGCTGCTGTGTGTCTCACACAGCCGGTATTGGTTTGGGGGGCAGGGAAGGGGCCAAGCTGCAGACACACACACATGGTCATTCATTGCAGTCCACACCCCTTTGTAAACAGTGTGTATGTATGTGTGTGTGAGTGTTCACACATGCATACTAGCCTACTCACACATTCAGCCTGGGGCTGGCAGTACCTGTGGCAGGAGAACCATCTTGTCTTTGAACCTGGAGAGGGTTGTGCTTATTTGTTTTTGTAATCCACTTCATAATCGCTTTTCTTTAATTGTTCCTCCTAAATAAATGGTTTATTTAAGATACTGAACAGAGAGTGCTGCCTCCTGGGCTCTTTGGGGAAGGGAGGGAGAGGAAAGGGAAACCTGCCCTTCATCCATTCATCATTTCTCATCTATGTACATTGCCTATTTGGCTACCTGGCACACACTGTAGGGACTGGGATAAAACAATAAGCCAAACATGATGAACCTGCATGTTTGGAGCTGCGTTTCCAGAAGGGGATGAGATACCCCAAATCAGTCATGAAGTTGCAACTGACCCCGAAACCCTGAGTAAAAGTAGGCTGTCTATTATCTTCAATAGGGAAAAGCCATGGGCTGGGTGTATCATACTGTGTGGAATCAAGGTTGCAAAAGCCTAGGCAAGGTCGGGGAGAGCCATGGGACAGGTGTGCACTTGGGCCATCTGCAATGTTAGGTAGAGCCTACATCACTGGGTCATCTAAGTTTTAGGTAGGACTCTTCTGTTCAACACTGCCAGTGCCTTCTCTACACTGCAGCTGGCAGAACTGGGAATCTGTTTCCAAAGCTTACAGATAGAGCAGAAAGGAAGAGCATCAGAGTATGTACAGGGGAGAAAGTAATGGAGGGTAATGTTTTAGTCAGGTTTCTAGTCAGCACAGGAATACCTGAGGCAATATGCTTGCAGAGAGAGAAGATTGATTTTTCGCTTACATTTCAGAGTTACAGGCCATGGCTGGTTAGGCAGCACCCAATGGTGGAAGTATACAGTGAAACATGATTGGACCCTTCATGACCAAGAGGGAAAAGGGTGGAAAAGGAAGGGACTGGGGCCCCCCAAGACCCTTCAAGAGCCTATCTCTAACTAAAGATATATCCCCTCTCCCAGTAGCAGTGCCTGAGGGCCTATGCCCTTAAAGGTGGACTTTTGAGAAACATTCAACATCCCAACTGCAGCAATGGACTTAGAAACAAGATGTTTAGGTAGCACTCCCAGTCCAAAAGCCCTGAAATGTGGATGAAATTTAAAGCCCTGTGACCAGCCAAATGTTGGTGGCACACGCCTTTGATCCCAGCACTCAGGAGGTAGAGGCAGGCAGACAGATCTCTGTGAGTTTGAGGCCAGCCTAGTCTACAAAGCTACACAAACAAACCCTGTCTCGAAAAAAAAACCCTGTGACAAAATGGCTGAGCTAGTGAGAAAATGAGAGAAAAACTCTGAGGGAAAAAACAAAAACCAATGACGACCTTCCAGTCCAAAAGTGCCTGGGGCATAGCCTAGGACTAGGAGCCAGAAGCCTCCACAGGAATGCAGCCATTCCATACCTGATGGTATTTAAAACTGTGATAACACCCTTTCTTTCTGGCAGGGTCACATGTAGCCTAGTCTGGCTTCAAATTCACTGAATTCATTGTGAGGCTGAAGATGTCATTAAATTCCTGATCCTCGTGCTTCCACCTTCCAAGTACCATAATTGCAGGGAAGTACTGTCACCACACCAGGCAAAGTGTTGCTCTAAGTCACTAAATTTATGGTAGTTTGTAGCAAAAAAAAAATACAATAGTTGACCTTGAAAAATACCCCTACAGAAACAAATTAGAATTTGGGTCAAAGTGAAATGAAAAAAAAAAAAAAAAGTCACACCTTGAGAATTTCTTGCCACAAGCTGAAGATGTTATTCTGAGTGGCCTGGGTGTAAAGTCAGGTATGTTCCCCAGCATATCTCTAGGAAGAACACAGGTACTGATGGGGTTGCTGGGAAGCTCTGGACATGTCTTGAAGGTATATATAGTTCTCATAAACAGACTGTACTTCAATTATGATGGCCTAGTAAAAACAGCACAGTTGGAGCTGGAGAGGTGCCTCAGTGGTTAAGAACACTTGTTACTCTTGTAAAGTATCAGGGTTGGATTCCTAGCACCGAAATGGTGGCTCACAGCAATCTGTAAATCCACTTCCAAGGAATTCGGTGTCTTTTGGCCTCCACAGGCACTGCACACATGTGGTGCATAGACATACACACAGGCAAAATACTCATAAAAATAAAATATTAAAATAGCAAAGTTTAAGCTGAGAATGGTGGCACACACCTGCAATTCTAACTTTGGGAGATGGGGTCGGGAGGATTAGGAGTTCAAGGCCATCTTGTACCTTGCAAAGAACTATTGCATCTAAGAAATGCTGAGAGTGAGAGAAATAGTCTTCCCAGGGAAGAGCACATCCCACAGGTTATCCAAAACCAAATGGTCAGCCTTGAAAACATATATACAGCCAGGTGGTGGTGGTGCACGCCTTTAATCCCAGCACTTGGGAGGCAGAGGCAGGTGGATCTCTGTGAGTTCAAGACCAGCCTGGTCTACAAGAGCTAGTTCCAGCACAGCCTCCAAAGCCACAGAGAAACCCTGTCTCAAAAAACCAAAAAAAAAAAAAGAAAGAAAAACATATATACAAGTAACATTATAAAGACTAAGAAGATTATATTTAGAAGTGTGTGTGTACAATTCATAGAAAAAGAAGCCATGAATTTGAAAGAGAGTAAGGAGTGGTTTGTGAGAGGATTTGAAGGAAGGAAAGGGAAAGGAAAAATTATGCAATTATAATCTCAAAAAATAGAAGAAATATTTTTTTTTTTGGTTTTGTGAGACAGGGTTTCTCTGAGTAGCTTTGGAGCCTCTCCTGGCCCTCACTCTGGAGACCAGGCTGGCCTCGAACTCACAGAGATCCGCCTGCCTCTGCCTCCCGAGTGCTGGTGTTAAAGGTGTGCGCCACCAACGCCCGGCTAGAAGAAATATTTTTAAAAGACAATGGCTGCAAATTTTCCACTATGTTAAGACTGCAGGGAAGTTGCTGAATATCTCCAGTCTCTGTCTTCCCCTTTACCATTTTATAAATAAAATACCCAAAGGTGAATACAGTACAACCATCCCAAGTAGAGATTTCATTTTCAGTCCTCTCTTGTGCCAGCTGTGGTCTTGTTTATGTATCATCTACTTTTTTTGGTAGCACTTTAGCACTGTGTGTGTTGTATGCATGTGTTGTTTTCTGTGAAGATGCACATAGAGGCTAGAGAACAACCTCAGATGTCAATAATTCCTGAAGGGTTGTCCACCATGCTTTTTGAGACAAGATTTCTTTCTGGCTTGGAGCTCACCAAGCAGGATAGTCTGACTACCCAATAACCCCCAGCAATCTGCCTGTCTCTGCCTCCCCAGGTCTGGATTAACAGCATGAGCTGTCACACCTAACTTTTTAGTGTGAATTCTGGGGTACTGAATTCAAGACTTTCTGGTTGAAAGGCAAGCACTTTACTCACTGAGCCATCTTCCCAGTCCAGCATTTTTAGCATTTTATTTATTTGCTTGTTTGCTTTGGGTTTTTTTTTCTTTTCTTTTTTTTTTTTTTTTTTTTGAGAGAGGGTTTGTCTGTATCCCTAAATGTCCTGGTAGTGCCTCTGCAGACCAGGTTGGTCTCAAACTCACAGAGATCCACCTGCCTCTGCTTCCCGAGTGCTGGATGAAAGGTGTCCACCACCACTACCTAGAACATTTTAGTGTTTTAATCGGTTATTTAAAATTCCTACTCTGGCCCAGCGTTGGTCGTGCACACCTTTAATCCCAGCACTCAGGAGGCAGAGGAAGACTAATATCTGTGAATTCGAGGCCAGCCTGGCCTACAGAGCGAGTGCCAGGATAGGCTCCAAAGCTACACAGAGAAACCCTATCTCAGAAAAAAAAAGAATAAAATGCTCTGAATACATTTTAATTGCCTAGCTCTCTTTCCCTGCCAGAAGCATGAACTTGTTCCTTTTATGAGTTCTAGTAGGTTTATGAAAAGAAAGTTCCTAAGAGCATGCAAATATGCAAGTTTTGATTGTCTGGTCTTTCCACTCCAATCCTCTGCAATTCAGCAATTTCCATGAAGCATGTCTTCAATTGTCCTGGTGGCTCACAGGTTCCTTGGGGTCCTGTGTGTTGTTGCCTGAATCCAACCT